CTTCGAATGTACATACATCAGTTCAGGTTGCTGTACCACCTTAACATACAGAGACTCAGTTGTCAGTTCAAATCCCATAGTGGTAGACATAGTAGAAGTATTAGCAGTAATCGGAGAGATTAGTGTTTCAGGATGTTATTCAAGAAGTACAATCCAGTCAGATGGATTTACAAAGGGAAAGATTAAGGTGATAGTGTAATGTAGAAGATTAAAAGTTCATAGAACACAAAGAGTGGATGTATCTTCACCATTACAAATCATTTTGAGCCATATCATTCAAGGTCTCTAACCATCACTTACTACCAACATGACTCAGTTCACACGTGTCGGTGATTTCATAGTTTCGTGCCATGTTTAAACCCTTATTTTATATCCAGGATTTGAGGTCATTTTTACCGTCGATTTAGGGTGGATCACTATGACATCATAGTGTAAATTTCATCAAAAATTTCAATCCAAATGTAGTGAAAGAGAACACAGGTGGGCCAACCGAATTGTATTTAACGGAAATTACATAGTTACTCAGTAAAATCGGAACACCTTATCGTAAATCGTTCATTTGCAAAATAACAGTTCATCACATTGAACTGGACTGTTCCTTTTGCAAAACATCAATCCATTGTCACTATTCATGCGTTTCATACAAATTCCATTGTGTTCTTCTAACTCTTCCTTTCTTGATCTTCCCCCATATTATGCTGCCAGACATTACGTTGACACTTACGTCATATACTACTTATAAGTAGCTCGCACCACAGCACCACACAAACACCTAGATTTATTTGTATCGTACTTTTATGAATATTTTTATGTTGCTCAGGTCAATATTCCTTCTGCAAATATACAACTACACTGAAAATTAGAAATTTTAATAACATATTTATTGAAAATGAAAACTGTATACAGTGTTTGACTAATAAGCCAACGGTAAAATGATCCTACATACTGAATATTTTATAATAGTTATGACATGTGTTACGTATACCCAACCACCGACTTCCTCGTCGACGAGCTATGCTGTATGGTGTAGGAGTGTATCTTGGTATACTGAATGTAATAACTTATTTTGTGAATGATAAGAGTTACATTGTTGCGATTGTTACGCAACACGTCAATTCGATATGCTTTAACTATTACGAGTTTACGTGGATCTGGTGACATGACATGCTACTCTCATCTGAGTGTCCCAACCCCAATATTGAGTGAAAATAAGAAGACAAGACTTGATATGAAGTAGAACATGTATTCTACAAGCATCCAGAAAGTACAAGGTCCGAGTCCAGAAGAAGACACGGATCCGTCCAGTAGTAGTACTTTAGGGTTTCTAATAGTGATGATAGTCGAACATTGATCGATTCATAATTTCAATGAAACTGTACAATTTATTTTGTGAGTTGAAAGATTTAACAAATAAAAAAGTCATTTCTTGATTAAATCATTTACACTTAACATTCAATGCATTCATTCCTGATTGGCGGCCCAGTGTGTTATTGATGATATCTGTTAAATTTTTTTTTTTTGAAGATGAAACCAGTTCAGTGAATCAAGCAGTGAAAGGTCAAACTACCGTGACTTTAGCTGGTCTATTAGCTTATACAAATTATACTATTCAAGTAGCTGTAAGTAATCGTAAAGGACGTGGTCCTGCATCACCAAGAATTATTTGTTTAACTAAAGAAGCTCCTCCTGGTGCTCCAGGTATGTTTTGTTTATTTTTCCGTCAAATATTTGTTATTTATCGAAGTGCTGGCGTGTGTGTGTGTGTACATTGGTCATGATATACTGTTTATTGAACCTGATTTGTATTCACTTCCTTGATGTTTGTGGTCAGGTTTGTCTGTCCTGATGAGTTGATGTGGTTCTTGTTACTTCGGCTAACCAGTATCTTAAGAGGTATTGTGTTTTAGATACAGATGGAGGAGAAGATGGATTAGAAGAGATCAGACAACGCTTCGCTTATATCAATACACATCGACAATTATGGACACAACACATTCGACTGGAACAATGTGGAAATACTGGATAAGGGGAGGACAAAGAACACTAGGGAATTTTTAGAAGCTTGGCACTCAAGTCAATCAGCAATCAATCAATCAAGTCAATTTATCAACCAATCTGTAAAATCATAGTTGACATAGGATCAACAAACAAATCAAAAGGGGGATACAATCAAAACAAAGTTGCAAACAACGACAGGTTTAAGTTCAACAGCAACCAATCAAGATCGAGGTTAGCAGAACAAGCTACAGGTCAAACGTAGAGAAATTCGAATGCGCTTCACTTCTATCTGAAGTTTGTGCTGATGATGTTGTTCAGAAGAACAATGAAAGCTCCACAACCAAAAGAACCAGCTCAGAGAACCAAATACCACCACCACCACCACAGAGATCAGCGATAAAAATACTACATTTCACTTCTTCTTATGATTTCCGCCGCTGACCAAATTGCTACATTACGGATCATTGTGGAACAATCAATTGAATGGAACTCACCACTCTACATCAACTTCATCGACCACGAGAAAGCATTTGATAGCGTGGATAGGAAAACACTATGGAGGCTTATTCGACACTAAGGTGTGCCTGAGAAAATAGTTAACATCATACGGAATTCTTATGATGGATTCAACTGCAAAATCGTGCACGGAGGTCAGCTGACAGACTCTTTTGAGGTAAAGACCGGTGTCAGGCAAGGTTGCTTACTCTCACCCTTTCTCTTTCACCTGGTCATCGACTGGATTATGAAGACGTCGACATCTGGAGGGAAGCACGGTATACAGTGGACAGTTAGGATGCAGCTCGACGATCTGGACTTCGCAGATGACCTGGCTCATCTATCGCACACTCAACAACAAATGCAAGAGAAGACAACCAGTGTAGCAGCAGCCTCTGCAGCAGTAGGTCTCAACATATGTAAAGGAAAAAGCAAAATTCTCCGATGCAACACAACATGCACCAACCAAATCACTCTTGATGGAGATGCTTTGGAGGACGTCAACACCTTTACATATCTTGGCAGCATCATCGACGAGAAAGGTGGATCCGATGCAGATGTGAGGGCGCGGATTGGCAAAGCGAGGGCTGCATCTCTACAGTTGAAAAATATCTGGAAATCCAAACAACTTTCAAACAAAACCAAAATAAGGATTTTCAATACAAATGTGAAGACAGTTCTACTGTATGGAGCGGAAACATGGAGAACTACCAAAGCCATCATTCAGAAGATACAAGTGTTTATTAACAGTTGTCTACACAAAATACTTCGGATTCGTTGGCCAGACACCATCAGCAACAACGAACTGTGGGAGAGAACAAGTGAGATTCCAGTGGATGAGGAAATCAGGAAGAAGCGGTGGAAGTGGACAGGAGACACACTACGAAAAGCACTCACTGCGTCACGAGACAAGCCCTCACATGGAACCCTCAAGGCAAAATGAAAAGAGGAAGGCCAAGGAACACACTACGCCGAGAAATAGAGAAAGATATGAGAGGAATGAACAAACATTGGACAGAACTGGAGAGGGAGGCCCATGACAGAGTTGGTTTGAGAAAACTGGTGGGCGGCCTATGCTCCATCGGGGGTAACAGGCGTAAGTAAGTAAGTAAGTTTATCTGAGACTACTTACTAAAAGGAGAAATGTAACCGGCTTTAAGCGGTTAATGTTACTCTCCTCTCTAGGTATGCTAAAAACTATTGCGGGTTCACCTTAGTTGAATGACGAGAACAAAACAATGAACCAGCATCCAGGTAGGCTACTGTGATCCCTTGACCCAAAGGAACTGACGAAATGTCTTGCTATTACGTAGAAATTGTATGCTAAAAACATCCAGCCAGCACACAATGAATCCAAACACTCAAATCGCTTTTATTTATACTCTATAGAGACGTCCTTTGATCAGTCACAAAATAGCACACTAAAATGACAACGTAACCAATCACAGCCAAGGATTTTTGTTGGTGGGAAATGTGATATCAAGGTCAAATGATCGGTCCATGAAATCAATCCAAATTTAAGATATTTATACCAAGCGAGTTCTGGGGATCTAACACTCTTAACAGTTACCCATTAGATTTTTGAGTCAAGTCCTCGGAACCACTCCTATCTTAACTTTGGTCCCGGATCCCATAAGAAGTATGTCCCCGATTTGTGAGGAATTTAAGAGTAGCAACTATTATCTTACCTATGAAAAAAATTGTTCTGAAAGCCTCGTAGTCGTTTTTTTTCAGTCTGTTCACCTTACTTACCTACTTACTTATGTCTATTACCTCTAACGAAGCATAGGCAGCCGATCAGAGAATTATTTGTCTGGTTAGAGATATTTTAGCGAGTTGAATTTCTACAGGATGTGGTCGCTAATCCCATCATGCCAAACCCTCCTCCTTTATCCGGCCTTGGGACCGGAAGTGACCTTAGAAGGGCTTCCGTGCGGAGTTTGTCTGTTCACCTATGGTGCGATTCATTCATAGGATTTTGGTAATCAATATATTCATTTTTCGTCTGAGCTGAATACCATGGATTGTATGTTGTTATTGTAATTTTTTCTCTGAATTCACTTTTGTAGAATTTGTCAAAGTTAAACCAATTAATGCCACATGTCTAGTTGTTTCATGGTCACATCCTCGTAAACCTCAGGGATTAATGAAGAGTTATTGTTTAGAAGCTATACCATTGTTTGATACAACAGCACAAGATGGTATAGTCAGTCTTTTCGCGTACAATTCAATTTCATCATCATCGTCATCATCATCATCATCAACATCATCTTATAACAGTATTAGTCATAACAATAACATTAATAATAATAATGATCGGGCCAAAGGACCATGTATACGACCAGATTTTACGAATTCTTACAATTACTACTTTTATTGTGGTGAGTAGTTAAATTGTTTTTTTCGAATAAATTTCATGTAATAGTAATTGATTGGTTAATATTTCTGGAACATTTTCTCAAACATCAAATTGAAGATAAAGTAAACTAGGTCTTTTGTTAAGTTGTTTACCATTGTCGCATGGTTTCTAATTCCTATTGGTCAATGAGATTTTGTCGACTTGGTTTTTGTAAATACTGAACTCATCATCATATATGTGTGTGGGTCGTGACTCGCTGGCTGGATCCCACTGACAGTCGCTCCTTGAACATCTTATGTAGACTTCTAATATACATGGTATGGAAAAATTGGTTTTCACATCATTCGTTCCCTCAGGATCCTAGTGCCTGTGTGAACACCTTAATTTCATCAAAAAAACAACATTACTGACTGAAGATAATGAGTACAACTTCCTTGGAGTGGGTTAAAAAAGGCACAGCGGTATGTGAAATCTTCAAGAGGAGAAGATTCAGCTCTCCACATCCCCGAACAGGCCAGAATTACTCAAGGCCTGAATAATGTGTCTGTGTGACATTTAAACTCTGGCATTACAAGATACGGAGTTTGTGTGTTAGTAATGGAGATAAATCCTAATGAAACCATAAGTTCAAGGTTTCTTGATGGGGTTTCTTCTCACTTTTAAGCATGTATTATGCAGAGTGTGTTTTTGTGACATTCATCCGATACATATTTTTGTGATATTTAGGCAATTGATATTCGAAATGACATTCAAACTGTTGTTACAGCGCGACAACCTACCGATCACTGATTCTTGTGTACGAAATAATACTCGCATTTTTTGTGTGAGGGGCTTAGTGATACTAAGCAGTTGCTTGAACATGTAGTTCAATAGTTCAAAGTTATACTCTTTAAATCATTAAGCCATTATCGTTCAAATTTATTGTGCCTCTAACTAACCTTTCAAACATTTTATTTATGATGGTGTATATATAATCAATACTGTGGGGTTGAATCGATTGATTGTTCTGTGTAGTCAACCCTCTCCAACACCTAAAAACTGGCAAGAAAGCCTTTTTTTGGTTACCGAAAAATATTTACAAATACTATATATCCCACCTCCATAGAAATTGAAGCCGTTTATTGACCAATCATATTTATTCGCATTGTTTAGAACATTTTCTGATGCTTACCAAATGATCTTCTTCTTATCTGGTCATTTCTCATTGACTTACTATATCATTTTAGTAACTTTCTTTATATTCGCCGACTTGGTATGACTGTACTGGTCAGTAGTATTAAAAACAGCAACGTCACGATGAAAATCTTAACATCGTTTATAATTTGATTTCAAGTCGTTTTTCTATGATCCTAGTATATTGGGCGGCAACCATTGAAAACCAAGGCGTATCGCAGAGCTGTTCCAGCCTAGTATGTGACTCTTCAGCACTTGTGTGGACGATTCTTACCAGTGATTGAACCTAAATTCCTCAAGTTTTACAGTGAATAGTTAAACTTTCAGTCACTAAGTTTAGATCCAATGACTTATATCTTTGTTACGCATGCACATAAACATATGTCGTTCGAGATGTTTAAACTATTACGAGTTTACCTTAGTCAGTAAACGAGAGCGAGGATCTAAGATCCAGTGACACGATAGGCTACTCTAATCCGAGTGTCTCAACCGTTCCAAATGAGTAAAAGAAGTAGAACCTGTATTCTACAAACATCCAGAAAGTACGAGTTCCGTGTCCAGAACAGAATCAGGGATCCGGGTCCAGGTCATAAAACATTACAGATAATGCGTATTTATACAGTGAGGTCGAATAGGAAACAACATTGAAGTCCGTGACATTCAAATCTAGGACGACCATAATTATTGACCAGTAGGAATTAACCAATAGGAATTGACCAATTGAATTAGACTTACGAAAATAATTCTCTTAGGATACTGAATAAATATCCTAACAATCTCGTATTTCATATTTGATTGTCGTTGGTTTATTATTTTTATTTACCGTACAAAAGCAGCAATCGATAATCTTTTTTTGTTCGTTAACAAGAGAATTAATTCACATTGTCCTGTTTGCTATTTCATATCTTTATGCATAGGTTTGATTGAAGAACGACCCTATAATATATCGGTTCGAGGCATAAATCAATTTGATGGTCATAAAGCATGGGCTGGACCGGTTCGTCCAACTTCTAATCGTAAGTTTTATTCCTCTGTGTGTGTGTCTGTGTGTGCATGCGCGTACTTGCGTGTACATGTATGCATTTTGATGGTATTGTTGTCCTTTTTTCTCCGGCTAAGAAAAAACTCTTTGCATTGGTACAAAATGAAAGGGATTCAGTTATAACCTTTGTATATTGGTACGTTATACCTAACTTTGGAATTGAATCCAGGACCTTCGATTTCGAGCGAGAACACCAAACCTCTAAACTGCTGGGCTGGCATCCAACAGAGTTAATGTCTAACTTTAATCAATCCAAGGGATTGCGCAATCTCATCCATTGTGTTCGATGTGTAACTGGCTCGTACCTGATACGGTTGACTAGTTGACTAGCTTCATGAAGAGGAGTTTGTCGGATTTCTAGTGCAGTGAAGTTCAAGGTGTTCGATATAAGGAGATAAGTGGCCGATTGAAGTGAGATCTTAACACCGTTGGATGCCGGTTTAGTAGTAGCCTAGTGAATGAGCGTTCGCACACAAGATCGAAGGTCCTGGATTCACTTCCCACTGGTGAGGTCGAAGCTGCACACTACTGTTAATCGTCATGCTAGAACGAAGCAGTCGTTCAGTGCTTCCAGACTTCTAATGGTCATAGGTTCGAATCCGACGAGTAGCAGGAACCGCGGATGCGCACTGCCATTGATGAGTCCCATACCAAAAGGAAATAGTAGTCGTTCAATGCTTCCAAATATCTAATCGTGGTCACCTAACAATGACTACTGACTCATGAACTCGTGAACTTCATGATTCTATAGTAAAAACTTCCTTCTTAAAATGGATTCGTTTCTTATCATTTACTGATTAGTTTCTCCTTTTCTCCATGCTGTTGTTGTTGGTGTTGTTGTGATTAGCACCAATTGGCATTATATCGATCGGTGGTAAAATAATTGCTCAGAATAAAATGAGCATTTGGATGGACTGTTTAGTGATTGGTGGCTATCAACCTCATTGGATGTATCCACAAGATGATCTTGAGTAAGTTCTTCTGCTCTTGTTTATATTACTGATTTATCTCCTTCTTTCTAATAGCTGGTTCGCGTTTTCATTTTAACGAGTTCGTATTCTACGGAATCCGGGTCGCTAAGCCCCATGCCCAACCGTCCTCTATTATTTGGATTTAGGACTGGCAGCAGTCTCAGAGGGACTCCAGGCGGAGTGTTTTATTATACGTTAGTTAACTATTGATCAGTAGTTGTAGGCTAATGAACGAAGGCTACATGGCGAGATGGAGGGATGTTACTTCAAAAAAAAAAGACACGGTTGACTAGCAAAATACATACATATACACCTTATCTTCAGATTTCATTTACATGAGAGCAGCAGATTTTTTTTAGATATCTTCTAGTATTCAAAACACTTTGCCGGTGACATACATTCGGATTTGACAGTCTGTGTTGCATACTACTCAGAAGTGACGTAGTAGCGAGCACTGTTACACCACAGTAGTACTAGGTGTTTTTTTATGTAATTTAGTTCATATTCTATTATTATGTGAGGTTTTATAATAGTTGTATTGACTGGTTTTCAAGAACTTAAGGATTGAAAATGCGTAATTGTGACAGCTTACTTGAAAAGTTTATTTAGTCAGTGAGTCAGTTACAACGTAGAACTTCGTACGTACGTACGTACGTACGTACATCAGTTCAAGTGACCATACCACATTTGTACACAGAGACGCAACTGTCAGTTCCCTACAGCATAGTGGTAGAGATAGTAGAAGTATTAGCGGTAAGGGAGTAGATTAGGGTTCGGAGATATTGTTCAAGAAGTATAATTCAGTGAGATAAATTTACGAAGAGAAAGATAGAGATTATGAGAAATTCAGATGAACACAAAGAGTGGATGAACCTGCGCCATTCTAAAGGATTTTGAGCCACCGAGCCAACATTCAACAGTGTTAATGTATAACACTGACAGACAGACAGATAGATACAACGCAGAACTTCGTACGTAGGTACATCAGTTCAGATTGCCTTACCACATCAGCACAGAGACGCAATTGTCAGTTCAAATCCAAGAGTGATAGCGATAGTAGAAGTATTAGCAGTAATGGAGAAGATTAGGGAGCGAAGATATGATTCAAGAAGTATAATTCAGTGAGATAAATTCGTAAAGAGAAAGATAGAGATTATGAGGAATTCAGAAGGTTAGAATTTGAGAGAACACAAAGAGTGGATGCATCTGCGCCGTTGCAAACGATTTCGAGCCCTATCGTTCAAGGTCTCCAACCATCGGTGACTTTCTTCTAGCGGACCACAACCAGGTAGTCTACATCTACCAACATGATTCAGTCCACTTGTCAGTGAGTTCATTGATTTGTGCCATGTTTGAGTCTGGCCATCCTTAGCTTTCTTCCAACCTACTCCTATACTACACAACATGGCTGGTCGAGGTAGTCGGTGCTTGGGCATTCATCACACATGTCCTAACCCTCTCAATTGATGAAGATCCAGTACCTGATCAATTGATTTCCCATCCTTACTTAGTAACCTTTTCCGAACACCAGCATAACTTACTCAATAGTCCCAGAGTATACAAGCAATGCTTCGAAGATACTAACGATCGAATACTAGTAACCTACGTATATTCTATATTCTTACTCGGCCATGTTTCACATCCGTTTAGTAATAGTAGTAGCGAAGCACGGAAACATTGTTACATTCATGAGTTACTTTCTTGCGCCTCCATTTATTCTCAACATTGTTATTTCTTAAATTCTTTTTTTTTGAAAAAAATTCTATACCTTCTTTTTTGTTATTTTCTTTCCCTTTGTGTTAATGTAAAGAGATTTGCATATCATGGAGAATGGTACACTAGTTGTTCAATCAGCACGTGTTGCACATAGTGGACATTATCAATGTTCCACTGTATCTGATAGTATTGCCTATGATTTAATTGTACAAGGTAAGTCAATTGAATTGGTGTGTTGTATGTCCGCGGGCGTGTGTGTGTGTACGTGTGGACGTGTATGTTTGTACAGGCGAACCATGAAACCATAATATAGTTTAATCTTTGAGATGGTGGAGAGAAAATCGGTAGCTCAGGTGGGTATGATTCTAGCGGAGTTTTGTTCTGTAAGCTGGATAACTTCGTTATGGAGCTTTTTTATCATTGTTCTCCCGAACACAACCACGTCATCGGCACAATACTTCAGAGAGAAGAGAACTGAAGTATTTGAGAATTGCTCCACGTGTAGAACTCCTAGGTTTTCCTATCGGCCTATCTGTCTCTTTATTTTGATTGTTATGGACGTCATTTGCTATGCTTGAAACTATTACGGGGTTACCTTCGTTGATAAACGAGAATGAGACAATGAATCAGTGTCCGGGTAGGCTACTCTGATCCGTTGACCTAAAGGAACTAACGAAGAAGTCTTGATATAGCGTAGAAAGTATATTCTACAAACACCCAGCAAGCACAATGATCTCAAGCACACAAATCGCGTTTATTTATACATCATAGTAACGTTCTTGCGACATTCACAACAATAGCACACAAAAATAACCAATCACAGTCAATGATTTTCTTGGTGGGAAATGTAATCTCAAGGTCAAGTGATCGGTCCATGAAATAAATCCAAAATAAAGACATTTATCAAGCAAGTTTTGGGATCTAACTTCCCCAACAACTTCCCGCTTTAATTTGTTTCTTGATCCTATATCTGTCGATGATTTTTCCAACATATCGGTAATTACAGCAAGATTACTAAAATCATTTGAAATAGGCGTAACACATAAACTAACAGAATCCATTCAATTCAATCCTCTATGTTAACCAAAGAAGAAAAAAACCGAAAATCATCTACAAAATTCACTTCTCAGACTGTGAAAAACACTATATCGGACACAGTAACTACCGAAGACAAATGTGTGACGTTGCGCTAAAAAAATCCTTAGATTAGTCAGATTTAGACATTAACACCGTTGCATACTGGCTCAGTGGTGCAGAGCTAAAGCGTTCGCACTCAGATCCCAAGGTTGCTGAGTCTGAATCCTGCCGAGTAGCAGGATTCGTGGATGCACACTGCCACTGATGAGTAGTCCCATACCAGATCGGAACGACTATCTTTCAATGCTTCCAGGTTTCTTTAATGATGGCCGTCTAACAATGATTGATTGATAATCTCAGTAATAAACTACGATCTTCATAACACCATATCAGTCAGTCAGTCAGTCAGATGCAACGTAGAAATTCGTACGTAAGTACATCAGTTCATGTCGCCATACCACATCAGCACAGAGATATAATTGTCAATTCAAATCCAATAGTAGTAGAGGTAGTAAGGGAATTAGAAGTAATCGGAGAGGTTAGGGTTAGAAGATATTATTCAAGAAGTATGATTCAGTGAGAAAAGTTTAGAGAGTCGAAACTAGAGGTGTTGAAGAATCCAGAAGATTAGCGTTTGAGAGAACGCAGAGAATAAATGCACCGGCACCATTGCGAACGATTTTGAGCCATGTCATTCAAGGTCTCTAACCATCGATTATTATCATCTCGCGGACCCCAACCAGGTAGTCGACAATTACCGACATGACTCAGTCCACTAGTCAATGACTTCATGGATTTCTGCCATGTTTTGATTTGGCCGCCCCTAACTTTCTTCCAACCTACTCCTACACTACAAAACAAAGCTCGTCGAGGCAGTCGGTGGTTGGGCATACGCAAGACATGTCCCAACCACCTCAACTGATGAAGTTTCACCACTTCATCCATTGATCTGCCATCGTTACCTAGTACTCGTTTCCTAACGACAGCATTGCTTACTCGGTTGTCCTAGGATATACCAGGAATGCTTCGGAGATACCTATTATCAAAAACCAGCATAACACCATATACATACATTAGTTGTTCAGTGTGTCTGTCTCTCCGCCCCTTCCTTCTTTAATCTTTAAAATCTTTCATGTAAAACAAACTACTGACGAATTTAAGTAGTATAATCCTCTTTTTGATTGTTTTTTTTATATTTCTTTGTAGAAATTCTTGAAGGTAAGTCATCAAATCAACTGTGTATTTGTCATTGTATGCATTACTGTTCGATTGATATCTATAAGTGGTTAGTGCATTGTATATATGAATACAAAATGTTTAGATTGATGATTAGAGTGGATTGTCAAAAAGTCTCTAAGTTCAAAAAAGTTATTTTAGTTGGTAGCAATAAAATAATTAACTGATACACATTTGTGTGAAAAACAAGTTATGCTGATGTTACGCATGCACGTAAACACATCATTTGGATATGCTTGAACTATGACGAGTTTACCTTAGTCGGGAAACGAGAGCGAGGATCGAGGATCCGGCGACACACGACATGATACTCTAATCCGAGTGTCGCAACCCCTCTCATTGAGTAAAAGAAGAAGACTCAATATGAAGTAGAACCTGTATTCTACAAGCATTCAGAAAGTACGAGGTCCAAGTCCAGAAGAGGCTAAGGATCCCGGAATATGGATCCGGGACCGAGTCCTGGTCCTGGTGTGCTGCGAGCTACTTATAAGTAGTATGTGACGTGAGCGTCAACGTAATGTCTGGCAGCCGAAGATGGGGGAAGATCAAGAAAGGAAGAGTTAGAAGAACACAATGGAATTTGTATGAAACGCATGAATAGTGACAATGGATTGATGTTTTGCAACAGGAACAGTCCAGTTCGATATGATGAACTGATATTTTGCCCCACCTGTGTTCTCGTTCACTACACTAGTCGTGGTCAATAAACGTTACAGATAATGCTTATTTATACAATGAGGTCGAATAGGAAACAACATTTGAAGTAACAGTGCTAGCCAGGATGACCAATAGGGATCGACCAGTATAAGACTGCTCAGCAATGCGCGACCACGATCTCTGCCTGCTGGAATCCGATTCTGTCTCGTGTGAGAACGCCTAATCTGTAGGCCATTGAGTTGATATCCAACAGTGTTGATATCTAACTCCAATCAATCCATGATTTTGCGCAACCTTCATCCATTGTCTGTGATGAATAACTGTCCCCTACCCAACACAGTATTGAACTCCACTGATCATAAGTTCTCTTCAGAACTCCAGGAGAGTACATCATGAAGCAACTAGTCACTAAGTGAGCACATGCTTACTTACACCTATTAATCCCTAATGAAGTATAGGCCATCGACCAGCGAATTATTTTTTCCGTTTAGCGTTTTTTCGGCGAGTTGATATTCTATGGGATGGGGTCGCTAACACGCAATACCCAACCTTCCTGCTTTATCCAAATTTGGTGACCAGCAGTAACCTCCTCCTCAGAAGGGCTGCAGGTGGAGATTGTATTATCATCATCAAGGATTTGACTGTGACCGATTCAGTCTCGTGTGCTTTTATGGATATGAGAGCGGATGTTACTTCCCGGCTGCCCACACCGTGGAAGGTTGTTTCTTGAGGGACCTGGAAAGGAAGGTAGATTAGTGATGGTCTTGAAGACCTGGGAGCGTGACCGCAGAGCCCAGGGGACAACTGCTTGAGGCCGGTCATGCACGGCCTTTCTATGGCTAGTATTTAAAGTGTTAGCTCCGTTCTTGTTTAAAAGGCATTACCGCCGGAGACGGAAATCCGTGAGGTAGGGTGAGGTGTGACATTTTTAGGGTCGATCTTTTCTAACCCTTCCTTCCTTGTGAGAAGGAAGCACCGCTGTAGATGCTGGTTGACCGAGGAAAACACTTTTCTGCTGTCACACGCCTCTGCAGTCAGCAGTACCACTTCGCCCTCAGACGTTGAGTAGCTACTTTTAGTCTCATTGTTCTCCAATCGACCTGCCTGGCATGGTAGAACGAGCCTTCAGGAACATATATTGCAGCCAGTATAACTCGGTTGGGTCATGACGATAGGCAAGTCCGACCACCACGTCAGGGTAGCAGCTACGGTCTGTCTAGATTGTATTATTTTCATAGTCAAAATAGAAACACTCCTTTTTTCCTCTTCTCTCTCTCGATCCCTACTAATTAGAACCTCCACGTAAACCAATTTGGCATAAATTTACACCAAGTCTACGTGGCATTCAAGCGGAATGGTTATCATCTGGTTCAAAACGTTTAGATGCACCAATTTTATGGTTTTATTTAAATTGGACCAATTTATACACTGGACAAATGCAAACTATCCGTTTATCAGCTGATCAACGTACTTATTATCTATCGAATTTGACATGTGCTACAACGGTGAAATTTCAATTAAAAGCTGAAAATAAAGTTGGCAATAGTTCATTAACTGATATCACTTCATGGACTACATTAGGTTCCGGTAAGAATTTCCTCGCTATCTCTCTCTGTCTCTGTGTGTGTTTGCCTGTGTTACATAAGCCTGCTCCCACACCCACCCACCGCAGGGGAGCATAGGCCAGTATTCTCCAGTCTAATCTCTCTATCCTTGGCTTCCCTTTCCAGTTCTATCCAATTCTTTTTATCGTTTCTTGTCATATCTGTCTTGATTTCTCGGTGTTTGCCTGCTTGTCTTGGGGGAAAAGTGCAATAATGATACTGTGGCGACCTTGAACAACAACGACGCATCAGCCAATCAGGTGACACTGACTGACTTGTCAAGTTATTATTCCTTTTGTAGTGGAAGGAGAAAAAGAGTTAAGTTGACCTAGTAAAAGTCAAGTTAGTGTTATGAGTTATAATTCTCAACGTACAGAGTTTTCGTCTCCAAGTGTTGAGACCAGCTAAAATTAGGGTTTAGGAATTTCATCACGAACTGATCACAGCTCTGATGCAGTCGTATGTACTGTTTACAAATTCAATAGACTTCTAGTTGAGATTTAGAGTAAGAGTTTAGAAAAGCAGAGAATATTATCGATCTTCACTAAAAAAAACTCTTTACAAAGCAGCGAATCACATTGAGTACTTAAATATATACAATTTTTCTTGAGAGTAGTTTTATTTTGGTAACTTGGCTTAGACAACATCTTAAGTTCACTGTTTGATTTTATAAAAGATATTTTTTTGTTGATTGCAAGCATTTCGTCGACCATGTTGATTGTCAATTTCAACGTTACTAGTAATTACATAGTACCCATCACTACACTCGAATCTTCGTGCAAAATACTTAAGATTGTTATCTTAACTCACTCACATTACTTCATTCAAGGCCGTCTTTCATCTGTACACATTTTTGCTGTTTACAAAACAAGTATCTTCTGTTTTTTGTGATATGTTTAATAGTTTTTGATAGTTGCAAGTAATCAACATGACTCCATTACCTCTACGCACTATGGGATTTGAATTGACAATGGCATCTCTATTTAATAATGTTGTCGTATGACAATATTTGAACTTGATGTGTGTGTGTGTACGTACATGTGTGCGTACGAAGTTCTAATCGAGGAATTTCAAGCAACCAGTTGATGTTTTCATAGTCTAATTGGATAATTATTGATTAACTAGGCTATCAGATCGATAGATATTCCTCTTATCATAAACTTTCTATTAACTCATAAAGTGATTACCATACGATTTACTGATAGACAGACAGACAGTTAGATAGATAGATAGACAGATAGGTACAACTCAGAACTTCGTAGGTGCCTACATCAGTTCAGGTTACTATATCGCATTAGCATAGAGACGCCACCGTCAGTTCAAATCCAATAATGGTAGCAATAGTAGAAGTATTAGTGGATGCACCTACGTTTCTATGTATATAAATGAACTTGGACTAGTTGCTCATTGATCTTGTATTCTTCCTCTTCAAGTTGGTTCGAGCCATTATTGAGCTTACTTTCAAGCATTGAGTCCGTTGGATTACTCAAAAGTCGTTCATGTGTTTATCGGTTCGCGTTTAAAGCCATAACTACCAGGATTATTTACTTACTTACTTACTTACTTACTTACGCCTCTCACCCCCAATGGAGCATAGGCCGCCCCCAGTTTTCTCCAACCAACTCTGGCCGGGGCTTCCCTTCCCAGTTCTGTCCAATTTTTTTTCATTCTTCTCATGTCTTTCTCTATTTCTCGATGTAATGTGTTCCCTGGCCTTCCTCTTTTCCTTTTGCCTTGGGGGTTATGTGTGGGGGCTTGTCTTGTGACGCAATTAGGTGCTTTTTGTTCTATCCACTTCCCCCGCTTCTTCCTTATTTCCTCCTCCACGGGAATGTGGTTTGTTCTCTCCCACAATACGTTGTTTCTGATCGTGTCCGGCCAACGAATCCGAAGTATTTTGTGTAGACAACTGTTAATAAACACTTGTATCTTGTGGATGATGCCTTTCATAGTTCTCCAAGTTTCCTCTCCATATAGTAGAACTGTCTTGACATTTGTATTTTTCAACTGTAGAAATGCAGCCGTTGCTTTTCTAATCCGCTACCCTCAACTCTGCATCGGATCCACCTTGATTGTCGATGATGCTGCCAAGATATGTAAAGGTGTTAACGTCCTCCAAGGCATCTCGATCAAGAGTGATTTGGTTGGCACATGTTGTGTTGTATCGGAGAATTTTGCTTTTTCCTTTATGTATGTTGAGACCTACTGCTGCAGAGGCTGCTGCTACACTGGTTGTCTTCTCTTGCATTTGTTGTTGCATGTGCGATAGAAGAGCCAGGTCATCTGCGAAGTCCAGATCGGTCCACCTGCGTGCTTACTGTCCAGTTGATACCGTGCTTCTTTTCAGATGTCGACGTCTTCATAATCCAGTCGATGACCAGGAGAAAGAGAAAGGGTGAGAGTAAGCAACCTTGCCTGACACCGGTCTTCACCTCGAAAGAGTCTGTCAGCTGTCCTTTGTTTATGATTTTGCAGTTGAATCCATCATAAGAATTCCGTATGATGTTAACTATTTTCTCAGGCACACCATAGTGTCGAATAAGCCTCCATAGTGTTTTCCTATCCCCGCTTTCGAATGCTTTCTCGTAGTCGATGAAGTTGATGTAGAGTGGTGCATTCCATTCTATTGATTGTTCCACAATGATCCGTAATGTAGCCATTTGGTTAGTACACGATCGATCCTTATGAAATCCAGCCTGTTGATTTTAAATTTGGGCGTTCACGAAGTCCTTCATTCTGTTTAACAATACTCTGTTGAAGACTTTGCCTGTAGTGATGCCTCTGTAGTTCTCACACTAACTACCAGCATTTATAGTAGCAGTATTTAGTCCCTACGGAAAATCCATGTAAAATTATCAGTTTTTTCCCATCCTATTGTTGTATACTTTTGTTTTTCACGAATTATTCAGCTAAAAAACATTTGTTTCTCACCATCAGTCAGTCAGTCAGGTGCAACGTAGAACTTCGTACGTAAGTACATCAGTTCATGTCGCCATACCACATCAGCACAGAGATATAATTGTCAATTCAAATCCAATAGTAGAAGAGGTAGTGAAGGCATTAGAAGTAATCAGGGAGGTTAGAATTAGAAGATATTATTCACGAAGTATGATTCAATGAGATAAGTTTAGAAAGTAAAAGCTAGAGGTGTTGAAGAACCCAGAAGATTAGGATTTGAGAGAACACAAAGAATAAATGCACCGGCGCCATTGCAAACGATTTTGAGCCATGTCATTCAAGGTCTCTAACCATCAATTATTATCATCTTGCAGACCCCAACCAGATAGTCGATACCGACATGGCTTAGTCTACTCGTCAATGACTTCATGGATTTCTGCCATGTTTTGGTTTGGCCGCCCCTAGCTTTCTTCTCACCATAAAAGTTATGAGCCGCCTATGCTCCATTTGGGGTAACAGGCGTAAGTAAGTAAGTAAGTATAAAAGTTATGAAGATTCTTGAATTTCATCAAAATCATGAATCAATACATTGTTACACCATCATCACCTGAAAGCACTGGAAGACAACGGCTGTTCCGTCCTAATTCGAGACTGATCAATGACAGTACCCATCCACGAACCCCACTCGCATCAATCGAACCTCGGTGTGTCGAGGTTACGCATTATCACTGATGAGTCTCACTCATACTTGGGACGAAACGGCCGTCTTCCAGGTTTCCAATGACAATTTAACGATAATTGATTTACAAAGAATGAATGATATCAATCATCACTGATTCCCCTTTCTTTTCTCCCCTCTTTTTTCCCAGCTCCACTGACTGCTAATACAGCACAATTAATACCCAACAATTTACGTCAACAATATTATGTCATATTTAATTTGTCCACATTTCTACCGGGTAATCATTGTCCACCAAATTTTTATCATCTACTCATTGCACCATCTGAAGATGGACATTTTGGTTTGAAACAAACGTTGATTAATCAAACAATCACTAAATACGATTTGATTACAATCGATATGTTGTTGAATAAAGAAAGGTGAGTAAAAAGTGTTTTTGTTTAGTTTATTTTTTGTATTGAAAAGTGGCTACTTGATTGTTATTGTTGTTGATGATGCACGTTTGTTTGTGTTTGAGGATTATTCATGAAATATTCTAAGAGAATTATTGGTCAATTCCTATTGGTTTATTCCTACTGGTCAATTTTTTTATGGTTGTCCTAACTGTCAATGTCACATACTTGAAAGGTTGTTTCCTATTGGTTGTCGTGCCTATCAATGTCACATGCTTCGAATGTTGTTTCTTATTGGTCGTTCTGACTGTCTATGTCACAGACTTCAATGTTGTTTCCTATTTAACCTAACTGTATAAATACGCATTATCTGTAACGTTTTATGACCCAGACCGGATCCCTAGTCTAGGATCCTGATTGTCTTCTAGACTCCGGCCTCGTACTTTCTAAATGCTTGTAGAATACAATGCTCAACTTTATATCGATCCGGATCCTTGATCTTCGCTCTCGTTTTCCGACTAATTTGAACTCGCAATAATTCAAGCATCTCA